TCCCTGATTCGAATTTAATGATATAACTATAATATTTTTTGAACTAATGTATGATACGTTTATGTTCATTGTACTTTTCACAAAATACTTGGGGGGTCTTTTCTTCCATTTTATGATATTATGAACGTATCACTCGGGATATCCCGATATTCCATACTTCAATACATCGGATGAACAGCAGGAGTTAGAAATTCTGAATATCTATCGTATCGTTTGTTGCAATGCCAAATCTATTAGAGATATTCAGGACTCTACTTTCACTGACCCATCATCCTTGGTATAGTGACTGTAAAATCGCTCTCTAACATTCAAAGTACTAAGTAAATAGTATCTACAAATTTGAGCTAATGTGACGAACTTTACAACCGCTTCAAGAATTTACACAGATACTAATTCTGCTTTTGTATCATGGTGAGAGCAATGTCGACACTCGTACTTTCCCTTCAGCACCACCAGTTATACAAGTTCCAGACTGATTGGCGGTGGACCAATCGCAGCACAACGTGCCTTTATGCCCACCTAATTCTAATACTTTGGCTTGTGCACCTGGTGGCATCTGCAGAATAATTTCCCTTTCATTTGCAATCCATTGAAATAGTTCAGTCCAAGTAGTAATTTGTCGCAAACATTACATACCTTGTATATGTTTCCTCCGCTTTGCGTACACAGCAACATGTAGTTACCACTTTGGTCAAAAGTAAAGAGTTTCCCATGGACAGTATTTTTCTCCACTTTGATCTTCGTCTCCCAAAGTATCTTCCCCGAATGATTCAAACTCCTTTGACACAGTTTACCGTCTTCACTTTGCGTACAAATGTTCGTGTAATCGTTAATTAATTCTATGTCAATAACCGGACTCGAGTGACAACTAATGTTATCGATAATTTCGTTTCGTCTTAAATCATGAATTAAAATATTTCCATTGGATAACCCTGTGATAAGGAGTTGACCGTTGTGATTAAATGCGGAGCATAAAGCTGTTACGTTTTGTTCTAATGGTAATGTTCTTTCTAATTTTCTTGTCTTAATGTCGTATAACAGAAGTTTCCCTTCGTTCGAATCTGATACAGAACACACAAACGTAGATTCCGTTGGATTGCAGAGCAAAGTTATGATCCGGGAGTTCTCGTGTTGAATATCCCATAAAGTCTTGCAGTCACGAGTGTCGTGTAACTGGATTAAACCATTGTTATCACCGTGTAAAAAATAACGTTCATTCTTTGATATCCAGTCGAGCGCTCTTATAGCTTTGTTTGAGTTTGTTGTGGCGGAGATATATGTAGTAACAGTCCTGTAAATAATATAATAATATTAGCTTGATATTCTAGATTAAAACATTAATTCGCAACTAAATTGATGAACTTACTTTGGTGATGGTATCGGGGTCCAGACTTTAATAATACCATCAGCGTCACCGGTAGCGACGTACGATCCACTCGCATTGCTTTTACATTGAATTATTGACGTTTTGTGTTCCGTGTACTCTTCCTGTTAGTCATTTTCTGTTACGTAAAATTTGTAAAATATCCGTAGTACAAGTAAAATTCTATTACCTGGCTAAGAAGAATATAAGTAGAATCAATTTTATCTTTAGCCTTCCGTTCGGCTACGGCGTCGATAGACGAATCTCGTTTCCTAGAGCTAGTTAATCTTGAATCACAGCTGATGCTTCTTTTGGTAACAGTATCAGACTTACTGATCGAACTCAATTTCCCCTTGGTGTTCGTTCGTTTCGTAGACACTGCTTCAGGTTCAGATATCTTTTTAGAACTTGCCGCAGACTTTCTACTTAAAATTGGACTAGAACCACCACCTATATTTCGTATCAAGTTCCTTAGAGTCTTAGGATTTTCTAGTAGAGGAGATTCTCTGTTCGAATGAAGACAAAAGGGTTAATTCGATGTATCAAATTGTTTGCAATATAAATTGAATAATAAAAAACAAAACACTTAAGTACTTTTCTAAGTTCAAAGAAACTATTTACAGTTTCTTTTTTTAACGATTCAGCATTCATAATGGATAAAATGCTTACTGTGCTATTATATAAAAATCATCCATAATAGGCGGATGCTGAGGAGCTGGTCCTGGATTTACATCCATTACATTATCTATCTTAACCGAATCGCTTAAACGCTGCCTTAGTGCCTCATTCTCTTCTTGTAATCGTTTCAATTTGTTTGTATCTTCATCTATAGTGAGTAGCGTTGGTAATGGCATACACTGTAAGATTAAAATGAATGTCGTTTGTATTGAAAAAGTAAATCCCCATGCGATTGTACATACTTCAATTTGATAATTTCTGTGTATTAAAAGATCTTGTAACAAATTCTTTGTGTCTGAAAGAATACAAACTTTCAGGCAACATAATGTGTCATGGAATTCATAAAACTCATAATGTGATAGGTAAAATGCAAAATACCTTTCACCTACTTGAAAAATGGTAGCAAGGAAATTGTGCAGAGATAATAACATAGTGTCTTGCCATTGTCTACTAAAATGTACAGAGTATGCTGGATTGTCTTCTGGATTTTTTACGAATGGCAATGCTGGAAAACAAAGTATGCATAAAATAGAATGTCACTTTCAGCCTAAACATGAGAAAACAATTGAATAGCCTACCAAACCATTCTTTCCATTCTGAATGGCCCTGCAACTCTGGCGTCATTTTCATAAAAAATTCTTGAATTCGATCTTGCTTGTTATTCAACGCTGCATTGACCAAATACATTTTTAAAACGGCATTCTCTAATTTTCTTACAGCTGGTGTAAAGTGACTCTCTAACCGGGAAAACATTCTTGTGTCCAAATGTCCCCATAATTCTCTTAGTGATGCCAAGTCATAATTATACACATATTGCATTAGTTGATCAACAATCTTGTCTACCTAATAACAGATAATAAAATACGAAATGCACTTTGTATGATACACGATCAAAGACGATGCAAATAAGTAATATAAACGGTGTGAAATAAAAAATCTGTGACGGTGTGATAGACGGAAAATTGTAATGTGTATGGATTTAAATATACAATGTTTTTAATGTTTGTTTTTGTGTGTCTTTCTTTCTCTATTACAGTCCATTTCACTCTTACCCGGAAGCCTTTCTCTTTTTCAGCTTTCAAGTCGTTGTCGAAAGCTTTTAAGGTTTGACTGAAACCTCTGAAAAGCAAGTATTCTTTGACCAATTCGTCCACATACTGGATATGAGACATTTTCCCTCGATTCTTGTTGGAATATCCTGTTTTTCTTTGAATTGACAGCTGTGTATTGTCATCCTTTGGCCATTTTGATCCCTGCTGAACATGCAGCAAACGTTTCGTATTATCGTTTTACGGACAGTACTGCCAATGTTAATTTGTTTCATATGGTACTCTCTGTAGGCGGTCGACTATCGATCATCATAATTAATTTTTACATTTTGCAAAATAATGCTGCGAGTTAACATTAAATAAATATTTCGATTTAACAGAAGGTTTAATAAGATACTTTTTGTATGCATTTAAATAAACATATACTATTCACCGAAACTATATTTATGTATCTTATATTTATTATTTATTTAGCAAAGAGATTACATTTTCTGTATATAAATAAATTAAGTCAAATGTAAAGTTTGTTTGTATAAACGTAATAAAAAAATAATCAATCATTAGCGTTATAATTTTGAACTATATATCTATCTGTGAATGCTCATGCCAATCTATAGATGATAAGATTTTCACTCAGTCGGTACTCTCTCGTTGCTTAGTAGACCAGCAAAATGTCGGCTGCAGGAGTTGATGTCAGACCTTTGCGGGTATCTCCCGTTATTAAAGTGAGTATCGCTGTTTGTTACAGTAAAATAAAAAAACAAATGTGATAGAATATTGTTTAAAATATTTGCTTCGAAATGCCTCCTTCAGATATTCTTCTGTTTTTCAAATAAACTCACTTCAAGCAGCTCTGTTCAAGCTGATGGCATTACATAAGTTTTAATGGATTTTGACGAAATTTTTAATTAACATTCGAAAGACTGAATAAAAAGAAAATAATCTGTTTTCTTTCTACTATAAATATAAGTTTCAAGATGCAAGTCGTTGACAACGAATTTGACTGTTATTTTCTAACCTTTTTGACCAATTAATCGTTGATGAAATGTTCATTAAATAAATCAAATAAATGACGTTTTTTTCTTTTACTTTTTCTTTAACTATTTATATTGGATTATTGAGAATACTAGTTAGGTCATAATATTTTATTTACTTGAAATTATTTCATATAGTTCTTTCGATGGACTCTTCTATTGACTGGAATCGCATATGGTGCCTATTTCCAAAGAAAGTTCAGTAAAATAGAAAACTTACGTCGCGAACAAGAATTGAGGGAGAAACCTATGCGGGATGCAAAACGTGCAGAAGAAAGGAAACGTCAATTGGAAGGTAAAAAATATAATGTGAATGATATTAAATAAACATTAGTATTACAATATTCGCAACTCGCTATGATGTAAGATAAAGAATTTGAAAATGTATCTTTATCCTTTCATATAATTATACTTTATATTTTTATGTTTCAGCTGAAGCCAAATTTTTGGATGACCTTGCCAAGGGACATGTTGCATAAATATTATCATTATTTAATCATTAGTATGAATGGTCATTATCACTAAGCTTATCAGGCAAGGATCTATTATGTACATTTGTGTTCAGAATCTACAGTAGACATAACATAAACTTCTTATCACATTACTTATGAAATAAAATAATATTCATTATGTTACTTTAAAATTTCAATTACCTGATACCTAATTCACATTTTGTTAAAAATTTTTTAGAAAGGAACTTTAACCCTGGACCCTTAGATTAAAAGTTTAATGCTCTGACTAAGCTATCCAAACATTCATCAGTTAATATTATCTGCTTATATTAGTAAAGGATATGCATAAATTCATAGTAATAAAAAAACACATTAAATAATGCCTTATTAATATATTCTTTATATTATTTTGTAACACTTTTAATATCATTTTATCTCGTTACATGCTTAATATAACAGATATCTGAGAACTGTGAAATATACATTGCACGAATTAAACATTATTTTACTGTACAAAATATATTATATCCATATAAAAATAAATACAGAAAATTATGTAAAATTTATAACAACTTCGTTTTCAAATAATATCTTCTGATTGTATATTTTTGATGTTGCACATCTATTACATTGGAATGAAGAGAAGAAAAGTACTTCTGTACATTTATAGTAACCCCTTTGTTAAATGCATATATTACGAACTATAGAAGTTTCAAAGATAACATTAAGTTAATAAGAGACAACATCGAGTATGATTCATTTACATTAAATATATATATTGTCATGAAAGCACTCAGAAATTCTTGTTCCCATATAGTTGTCTTATCTTCTTTATACTGGAATCAGTTCTGTTTCATTATTTTTTGTGATCAGTTGTAAGAGACTGCCATTAGTAGGGCGGTCTTTTCCGTTTGACCATTTCCAGAAAAGACTGCCGAATAGATAAGAAAATTAGTATAAACGAAAAACAATTGGAAATAAAGATAAATATTTTACATACTCAGCTATGTATTCAAGAGGAGTCCAAGTAGATGTATCAGCTTCGGGCATCCACTTTCTATTCATAGGTGTGTCCAAAGTTACAGGTAAAATAGCAGTAACTATAGAATTTGTTGGAAGCCCACTTCCCTTGGCTGCCAAAGATTTTGTCAATTGATGAACTGCAGCTTTGGCCATTCCATAACCAATCATGCCTAATTTATTGAAATAATACAATTTACACTGTATTGTAAGCAGCATAAAAGAATTGTTTTTACATAATTAGAAAAATCCTTTACCTGGTGTTTCGGCTAATGCAGCTTTAGCACCAGTCAATGAAAGAAAACCACCCTCTTTCAAATGATGGGCAGCAATACTGCTAGCAATAACTGAGCTCCATATGCTTTGCTTCCACATAAGATCACTATTTTTAACGTAATTTTTGCTGGCAGCATCTCCACCAGCCCATCCTCCAGCTACACAAATTATACCATCTACTTTGTCCCCATTCAAGATACTTGTAATTTGTTGAAGAATATCAGATTCCTAAAATATATACATATATGGAAATGTGAATTTTTATGTGATCTTATAAAGATATTTACACAATTACCTGTTCCTGCCAGGAGCACTCGGATTTCACAATCACATTTGCGTCAGCTTGGTCATTCTGTTTCATATCAATAGATCCGACCCACTGTAATTATACCAATATAATTGTACAATAATATTGTTTAACAGTCTTTTGCAGCATGAAGAATATTGCTGCTGGCAATCAATGATCTTAACAGAATAATCATGGTAAGATTTCAAGGTGTTATAGCACAATGTGAAAGGATCTAGTTTAAAAGTTATGTCCTTGATGTGATTTTCCTACACAGCAAAAAATTATTCAGTAATTGTAAAGTTTCTTCTCGAGGGAATATTTAAGAAACAATAATTATTCGGATTTATGCAGATATACAGAACATTTCTGATAATGAATTGCAATATTTATATTAAAAAAATATTGCACGATAATTAAGTATTCTGATTCATATTCAAATTTACCGCTCAAAATTTGAAAATCGAACACATTTACGAAAGCAACAGATAATCATTATCGAATGAAGTTTTGCAACAGATACCAGATAAAATAAAAAGAAATAAAAATAACAGAAAGTTCTTAACAGTCAGAAACATCTTTACGTGTCGTCTGAGATAAATCTTTCGCAATGAAATCGGCTTGTTGCACGTTTTTTCTGAACCGACAGTTTGAAAGTAATTGGTAAACGTTAAAAATGAAGTACTTGTCGTAACTCGGGGAATTATTATTCCGTACTGTTACGGAGTTAATATTCCCAAAAATATTAAAAAGAAATTGAAATGATTACGAAAGATCGAATGAATGTGAATTATAGTGAAACAGATGCTTAGATATTTCAGTTGTACTCGCAGAGAGTCATTAGTGGCAGACTTACCCAATTGTTCGATTTAAATTTCGTTACGCACGCGGAGCCTAAAGCTCCCTTACCACCGTACACAATAACACGTCCGAGTGTCGTCGCCATTTGTTCAATAAACGAGAAACAACTTCGCGAAGTAGGTTTCGGGTGTTTGCGCGATTTTACACGGAAGAGTACGAAGTCGTACGAGAAACTCTCGGAAAAGTTCGTGAAAGGAGTGCCGGATTGCCGGATCTCGACATTAACCATGATAATAGATTGTTAATCGAATGGTTGATACCGTACGCCTAAAAGAATTCCAAATATATCCAATTATTCCGCGTTGAAACATATTCGAAAGCAAAAATTTCGAAATATCAGTGTAAACGGTTATCGATTAATCTCGACTGAAAGCTATTCAATTATTAGCCGTTAGTTCTCGAAAGGGGATGCTGGTGCATTTCAATTTTACGAGTGGTACGATCCATCTGGTTTATAAAATCTTTACCGAAGAAAATATATATTTCGCACGGAATATTTCGAGATACACGCGAAGCATAAGACTTACATGTGTGAATAAATAAAAGATTAGTCTAAAATTTTCAATAGAACGTTGCCAACGAACGATCGCATCGAATAACATTTGAATTTCCCGCGTGCGTTTGTTATGAACAACGGCAACGTCGCAACGACGGAGAGACCCTGCCCGCAACGTTCTCCGGGAGCGTAGGTCTAGTGTGACGTCACGGTAGCCTAGTTGGGTTAGGTTTACGCTGGAAATTCTAACGAGAAATTTTTTGTTCGACGATTCATGTTTTTCCCATCGTGTCCGCTGCGCTAAGCGAAACGTGTGAAGAGTGAACGCAGTGGCAAGCAGGCAATCGTATCTCGTGAACCGTTCGATCGCGAGACCTCGCGCTATCGACGTATATGAGATTTTAAACGGAAAATGAATCGACATGAAGGTACGTACGTACGTGTGCACTGTCCCCTGGCCTGCAAGTCAGCCTCGAATTCCCCGTTTGCTAAATTTCTTTTCTGCCGATGGGCGAGATTATTGGATCGCGGGGGATTCGAGATTGTGCATGGATAATTCGTGCGGAATCGTCGTCGAGGTTACGAGATCTGCAACACATGAGATTTTTCGCAAGAGACATTTCTCTCGCGAGCCCTGTATCAAAAGGGTCTAATGTCAGAGGCCAGATGGCAGCACTTATAAAAAATTACTCCAATTTCTGTGGATTTGTAATATTCTCATCGATGATTTCGTTGAATTTTTTGCGATGTCATCCCGCCCCGACGCTTCGTCCTTGCAGAATAAAAAGCTCCGCCGAAAAATTCGTTTTGGCCGGCTGTCAGAATGCTCTACCAGCTGACTCCTTTGGAATTAGTTTTCTTCTTCAGTCCCCTTCCCTTTCTCATAATGTTAGACTTGTAAAACATATTGAAACATATTCCTGTTGCTTCTCAACCCTAACTCTGCCGTTTCATTTATTTTCCTTCGACTTTACACTTGTATTTTTGGAACAATGGAACGATTGTTTATTCCCCTTGAAAGCGTATAATTTTAATATTAAACAATGCGACACGCTTGGCTTTCGGTGTCTAAACATTATCATTGTAGAGTCGGATATGGGATATTTATAGAAAGAGAATTAACACACATTATTTTTTCTATTGCATTGTATGTCTATATGTTACATAATTAAAATTGCCAATATTCCATTGAAATTTAAGAACATTATCGATGGCTGTATCAACAGCAACATCTTGATGTTTACACAACGATTACAAGGAAATTATATTATTCTCTGTTTGATTGAGAATTATAAGTTACTTGTACAAGCTACAGTTATATCTGTATCATCTTATTATTAGTAATTTTATATACAATAGATGATTGATATTGATTTAAAAAGCTAATCACATACACACTAATGTTGTATATATAAGTACAATATTTACATTATAATGAACAAAGATCAATTAATATTAATTATTCAGATAATTATATATAAGTATATATATATACATACATATATATGTGTATATATATATATCTATATATATATACATACCTATATATACATATATATACATACATATATATATATATATATCTGTATAAAAATATGGAACAATCTTTGTTTTAAGAATTGTATGCACTTGCATTCAGATTTAAAAGTAGACTGAAGCAAGTTACTTTTTATAGATTTGGTTCAAGGTTACTGCACACATATGATCATAAGATATATATGTATATATATATGTATATATAAGTTTTGTAGATGCAGCAGTGTTTTTGTTTACACATACATTACAGGATTCAGTAAAATAATAAGTCCAGTTTCATGTCTGTTAAGTTCCAATAATGTACTACGTACTAAAAAATTATTATGTTTATTCCAGGGGTAAGTTGTGACTCCTGCTTAAAGGGTCATTTTCGGGGTCGCAGGTACAAGTGCCTTGTGTGCTTCGACTATGACTTATGTGCCAGCTGTTACGAAGGAGGTGCCAGCAGTACACGTCACCTCGCTGACCATCCCATGCAATGTATACTTACTAGATCTGACTTCGGTAAGAGAATAAATCTGTTGCTCTGCGATCAACTCATTCTGTTAGTACATAAATTAACACTGTAATTCGTTACCAGAATTATACTATGGTGGAGAAGGAGTGAGTATAGAGCAACCACAATCTTTAACTTGTCCCTATTGTACAAGGATGGGTTACACCGAGGCCACCTTGCAAGAACACGTTACTGCAGAGCACCAAGATGCTTCCTTTGAAGTTGTAAGCGTAACAAGTCATTGCGTAACCATGGTGTACATAACAATTCTATCACGGAAACAGCACTCAAATGTATAATTCCATCGCAGGTTTGTCCTCTATGTATATCCACCCCGGGAGCAGATCCTAATATCGTGACTGATGATTTCGCGGGACATTTGAGTTTGGAGCATCGTAGTGGACCACGGGACCTGATCTCTTTTCTAGATGAACCAACTTCAAGTAGATATAGTGGTAGACGGGTACAGCTACATCAATCTAGAGTTCTTGGTGGGTCACGACCTCGCAGGTATGTGTATCAGCCAACGCGCACAGTAAATATTACAATATATATCGTATAGAAAATATGTTCAAACTTACACATTTGACTTGAAGGTTTAATAAGAGGAATAATTATTAAGTCATTCTAACATATACGTTGAGTAACATAAATCCATCGATGCGTTGTATATGTAATTTGAAGTTTTATCTTTGAATGCATGCAGTTGCGTATCCGTTTTCTCATTTGCACTGTCAAATATAATGTATCAGTTCATTAGGCACCCATTATTAAACCATCGCATATATTATCGCCGAATATTTCGGCGAAAGGTCGCGAAATAAGACTTCAAGAACAGTTGTTCATCGTCATCTCATCTAGATAATGTTCATTGGTGTGTCATTGGACCTACAGGTCCATGCATTTCAGTTCGTCCGGGGGATTGAGTCCGAGTAGTCGAGATGGTATAGATCCGATTACAGAATTACTCTCTCAATTATCCGGTGTTCGTAGAAGTGGTGGAGGGACTGGTCAGAGTTCATCAACACCGTCGCAATTACAACACTTGCAAATGCAGCTACAAATGGAGCGCCAACAATTTAGAGTGCGTATTTAAAGATACTTGAAACGAAGATCTTTTTCAAACGAGAATATATGGTATAATACAAATGTGATTCTAGGCTGCTAGGCAACAATTGGAGCGGTTACCTAGGAGGCAGACTCAGGCTATTGGTTCTGTAAGTGGTGGAGGAGGTACTAGTGGAGGTCATTCTACTGCTATGACCAGCGTGGTAGCAAATAGTACGAGTAGTAATAATAATGCAACCAATGTGGCCAACCCGTCCGGCGTATTGTCTACCAATTTACAGAACTTTATGTTTCTATTACCAAGGTATGTAAATTTCAATTAAACAGTGTATAGTATTCCCTTATATAACGTTCCCCTGAAATAAGAAACTAAGCGTTTACTTTTTTCTTTCCGCGTGTATATATATTTCTGTTGTGTATATATATGCGAGTTCTTTGTCTGAAAGCAGTAAAAGTGCATGTCACGATCATTGTAGTAGCTGCCAAAAGCTATATTTTAAGATGTACCGAGGATAAAACGTGCATATAGCTATTCTCAACCTCCGCGGGACAACAAGCATATATTTGCTCGTTATGTCTCCCGATCGTCGGTGCTTAATCATGACAATACGTTGGAATTTTTATTTTCGCAGATGCATCACGAGTACTCTATCCGACTCACAACTGCAGAACATTGAACGCGAGAACACGAATAGGGGACTGTTCACGCGCGAGTTAATCGTCAGCACTCTGTCCCAAACATTGCCGGAGTTGATACAGCAGCAGTCAGCAGCGCAAACGCCAGTGTCGAGCACGACTACTGCCACGACCAGTCCCGAAACACCGAACGCCAACGCTTCAACGGTTTCTACTAAGAAATTAAGTTCAGCTCAGGAGGCGAAAAGGGATCAAGCGACGAGTAAAAACGTAACGCAAACGTCGTCCACGCAACAATCACATACTACTGTTCAAGCTGCTGCTGCTGACGGCGCGGGAACAGGTGTACAGACTCAAGGATTGCCGCCCCCAAACTCGAATAACCTCGCATCACAAACTACACCTAGGGTTCAAACACTAATGCATAGTGTATTACCTCAGCCACTGGTAAGTATTTACCAACAATTTTAATTTCCCACTCGTCGCATGAGTAATGTTGTTCGCTTATCTCCTACGTGAATACACCTTTATTAAAAATATTAAAAATACACCTCTATAGATATTAAAAATATATTACTGATTGGGTACATCAAAGAGATGCTGTAGAAGAGTTAACGGTATTCAAAGGAGACGTATCTTGTTTTAAAACAATGTTTTAAAATAATCTAACTCTATCGATTCTTTTCTGGAAACAACATTACTCAACGTTGAAGTGATTCGATAATGTTTGATGATATTCGATCGTTGTATACAGGTACTGCAACAACCATTGCCACCACCAGTTAGTAGAACTATCAGAGAACCGATAGCGACCCCGACACCAGCGTACCTTAGAGGTGGAGTCGGTCCAGTTGGAGTAACAGGTTCTTCACGTAGGAAGCCGGTTAGGGCTGTAGATGGCAGAAACCAGTCTACGGAACCTCCGCCCCCACACTAACCCCTCCTTAGCCCGTACCCACCCACCCTGACTCCTCACAGGACCCTCTAGCACTAGTCCTAGCACTGTTTAGAACACCTCATCATTATTGTTATTATTATAATATTATATATTAATAATTATTCGAATGCCCTCCTCCTCCTTCTCCTCCTCCTCCACACAACCCCCTCCCCCTGTCTCTCTTTATCAATTTCCGAACACTCTAATCTCGCCATCTTTTTTGTCGTTATTGTGACATGGAACAAGGGCAAGGGCTGATTCGCCGACACATGCAAATAATGTACATAACTTACTTCTTGCAGTCATTACACAATCCTCAGTGCACGCTCCTCAGCGAGTCTTGCCACGTTCTTCCATATTCGAAATTACGTTGCATCCGTGTTCTTATGACACACATTGATCAGAGGACAGAAACTGACAGAGAAAACAACAACATCAACAACAACAACAACAACAACAACAACAACAACAACAACAACAACAACAACAACAGAAAAAGAGAAAGAAAGGAAAGAGGAACACAAAAAGCACAGCGAGGCAGTTGAGGAACGAATGAATAATTAAAATGTTTCATGGTTCACTGGTGGACTGCGCAGCAGCCAACGCTGGGACACAGAGTCAGACATTCGATCGAGGCAACAGAATACTCAGAAACGTGCATTTCTTGTTCGAACATCGGGAGACCTGTGAACACAGACATAATAACCCGAGGCCCTTAGAAAAACGCA